GGGGCAAACGTTGAATTTTTGCGGTGCCGGTATTTCTTGCGTTCGAGTTGGGTTGACGAGCCCAGTTTGTGACCCAGTTGGCTTGAAGAGATTTGTGTGAGCGTGTTCCGATTCTCCCAGAACGCTCGTGATGCATTGCTTGATTGTCCTCTCGCTGCAACTTGTCGGTGGTATGATCGACTTGCAACTTTCCGGAGGATTGCCCTGCCCCAAGAAGATAGCGCTCGCTTAGCGTAGACGTTAAAGCCTGCAGCCGTGCAGCCAGCAATGTCACGACGTTTCGTGGCAGTCCCTGTTTCTGTTGTTTGCACCGGCTCAAAAATGCGAAAGTGTTTGGCAGACCACAAGGCAACATCACAGAGACGATCGTGGTTCCTCGCTAGGTTGCGCGCTGACGACATCTCGGCTTGTTGATCTGCACTGCCCGAGGCGCATGTTGAATTCGGTGAGGGTGTTGCGATTCTCCCAGAACGCTCGTGATGCACTGCTTGATTGTCCGCTCGCTGCAACTTGGCAGTGGTATGATCAACTAGCAGCTTTCCGCGGGATTGTGCTGCCCAAGCAGAACGGCGCTCGCTTGGTGTGGGTGTTAAAGCCTGCAGCCGTGCAGCCAGCGTTGTGACGAAGTTTTGTGGCAGCCCCTCTTTCGGTCCTTCGTTTGAGAAGCGTGCAGGACATTGCACTCGCAATCAGCACTGCTCTGCTTGACCTTCGCCTTTGCCGCAGTCCCTTCGCAAGCTTCGTGTGCTGAAGGCAGGGTTTCTTTGTGTCCTGGAGCCGAGCACAGATGGTCTGCTGGAGCATGGTTTGACTACGGCTGGAGTTCGTGGAAGTTTCGAAGCCGTGGGAGCCGTGGCGGGCTCAGAAGTCATCGAGGCCGTGCGGAGTGAGAAGCTCGAGAATCTAAACCTGTTCCGTGCAGTCACGGGAGCACCTGTCCGGGCGCAGTGCCCCAAGCAGCCAGGGAGTGCTCTAAAATCTGCGCTGCCCTGCATCCCACACCCTTTAAGGAGACGCACGGCTCGTGGCACCAGGGTAAGCCTCTAGTTTCTTCGAATCGCGTCCCTCCGTTCTGGAGGCATGTCCCGTTGCATTGCTTTCGCATGATGTGCCTGGCAATGGCAAACAATCTCGGCCAACAAGTGTTGCAGGAAGCGATCTCTTTGAGATTTCCTGGCATGCCCCCTCTCGTCCCCTCTGTGGGAAGGAGGGACTGCCATCTTGTCAAGGCAGAAGCAGGGCACTTCACCGTGCTTGGGACGTTCCTTCCCCCTCATGTGCTCCGATGCAGATACCTGCCCTTGTCGTCGCGGTAAGAGCGCTTGCACATGCTGCCTTACTTGCACCCGGGTGCATAGTCACATAGTAACGCATTCGGCCAGTTCTGCGCAAGGCGATGCAAGCCTGGCCGTGGTAGTTACGTCATTCACCTCCATTGAACCCTTTGACTTGCAGCTTTCCCCAGGATTGTGCTCCCTCAAACCAAGAGGTGTTGGCCAGGTGTAGATGTTGAAGCCTGCAGCCATGCAGCTATGTCACGACGTTTCGTGGCAGACCCTGTTTCGGTCGTTTGCACTGGCTGCAAAGCGTGAAAGTGTTTGGCAGACCCCCAGAGACGATCGTGGTTCCTCGCTCGGCTTGTTGATCTGCACTGCCCGAGGCGCATGTTGAATTCGGTGAGGGTGTTCCGATTCTCCCAGAACGCTCGTGATGCACTGCTTGATTGTCCGCTCGCTGCAACTTGGCAGTGGTATGATCAACTAGCAGCTTTCCGCGGGATTGTGCTGCCTCACGCAGAACAAAACCGCGCTCGCTTGGTGTAGATGTTAAAGCCTACAGCCGTGCAGCCAGCGTTGTGACGAAGTTTTGTGGCAGCCCCTCTTTCGGTCCTTCGTTTGAGAAGCGTGCAGGACATTGCACTCGCAATCAGCACTGCTCTGCTCGACCTTCGCCTTTGCCGCAGTCCCTTCGCAAGCTTCGTGTGCTGAAGGCAGGGTTTCTTTGTGTCCTGGAGCCGAGCACAGATGGTCTGCTGGAGCATGGTTTGACTACGGCTGGAGTTCGTGGAAGTTTCGAAGCCGTGGGAGCCGTGGCGGGCTCAGAAGTCATCGAGGCCGTGCGGAGTGAGAAGCTCGAGAATCTAAACCTGTTCCGTGCAGTCACGGGAGCACCTGTCCGGGCGCAGTGCCCCAAGCAGCCAGGGAGTGCTCTAAAATCTGCGCTGCCCTGCATCCCACACCCTTTAAGGAGACGCACGGCTCGTGGCACCAGGGTAAGCCGCAACCTCGTTTCTTCGAATCGCGTCCCTCCGTTCTGGAGGCATGTCCCGTTGCATTGCTTTCGCATGATGTGCCTGGCAATGGCAAACAATCTCGGCCAACAAGTGTTGCAGGAAGTGATCTCTTTGAGATTTCCTGGCATGCCCCCTCTCGTCCCCTCTGTGGGAAGGAGGGACTGCCATCTTGTCAAGGCAGAAGCAGGGCACTTCACCGTGCTTGGGACGTTCCTTCCCCCTCATGTGCTCCGATGCAGATACCTGCCCTTGTCGTCGCGGTAAGAGCGCTTGCACATGCTGCCTTACTTGCACCCGGGTGCATAGTCACATAGTAACGCATTCGGCCAGTTCTGCGCAAGGCGATGCAAGCCTGGCCGTGGTAATTACGTCATTCACCTCCATTGAACCCTTTGACTTGCAGCTTTCCCCAGGATTGTGCTCCCTCAAGCCAAGCGGTGTTGGCCAGGTGTAGATGTTGAAGCCTGCAGCCATGCAGCTATGTCACGACGTTTCGTGGCAGACCCTGTTTCGGTCGTTTGCACTGGCTGCAAAGCGTGAAAGTGTTTGGCAGACCCCCAGAGACGATCGTGGTTCCTCGCTCGGCTTGTTGATCTGCACTGCCCGAGGCGCATGTTGAATTCGGTGAGGGTGTTCCGATTCTCCCAGAACGCTCGTGATGCACTGCTTGATTGACCGCTCGCTGCAACTTGGCAGTGGTATGATCAACTAGCAGCTTTCCGCGGGATTGTGCTGCCTCACGCAGAACAAAACCGCGCTCGCTTGGTGTAGATGTTAAAGCCTACAGCCGTGTAGCCAGCATTGTCACGCCGTTTCGTGGCAGCCCCTGTTTCGTTTGTTTGCACCGGCTCAAAAATGCAAAAGTGTTTGGAAGACCACAAGGCAACGTCACAGAGACGATCGTAGTTCCTCACTGGGCTCCTCGCTGGGCTTGTTGATCTGCACTGCCCGAGGCGCATGTTGAATTCGGTGAGGGTGTTCCGATTCTCCCAGAACGTTTGTGATGCATTGCTTGATTGTCCACTCGCTGCAACTTGGCAGTGGTATGATCGACTTGTGACTTTCCACGGGTGCTCGGTGTTGAAAACAGGGCTTTCGACGGGCGAAGGGTTACCGCCGACTCGCAATTCGTCGCTTAAATTGTCCATCCGGGAGTCGGCGTTTTAAGCGACTTGCCTTTGTCACATCCTCCTCTGCGGCCCTTGCCTTTCGCCCGACGGCGGCAGGGGTGGAGCCTGTGGCCTCGGGGCCACAGGGCCAAGATCCTTCTTAGCCGGAGCCCCGGCCTCGAGCTTCCCGGCTGTCACTGTACTCGCAATGCTCATGTGGAAAGCGCAGCGCTGCCATGAAGACAGGTCGCGCATCTTGAGGAGATCTGGTAGGCTTCCGTGTCTGTGCTCTATCAAGAAAAGGCATCCGAAACTGCGGGATCTGTCCGGACAGTCCGCATTTTCAAGACGGTGGACGCCTGCCAAACCTTGGCGCAGGCAAGCTTGCGGCCGAGGGGGTCAACCCCTTTGACGACGGCACAGATGCTGAGCTCCCCCGCAGCTTTCCTGCATTTCATGCCCCAGGTGGCTCGCCGTTCAGCGATGCGGTTCGCAGGGCATTTGAGTGCTTTACCCGACCTTTGTGTTGCGAGAGGCTCGCTGTGTCACATCGAAGGAGCCGTCGGGCAGCAAGCCACCGTCGTGGCATCCATTTGCGGTCGGTCAGTGGTAAGTCTGCTGAACTGATCTGCGACGTCGGCCACTTGAGGGACGCGACTGCATCCGCCGGGACCGATCGGTGCCGGGGCGAGCCCGAGGCACTTCCCTAAGACCATCGCAGAAGGCTTAGTTCCGACTTTGGTTGGGTCTGAGACTTGGGGAATGTTCGAATGCAGGCGGCCCGGTCATGCAAAGGCTCCCTTTCGTGCACGTTCTGTGCACATGAACCGCAACCCCGTCAGAGACTGGACTTGGGCATTGTGGTGGCTTTGTTTGGTAAACCTGTGTGCGAGAAAGCAGCCAAAGCTTTGCAGTTGCACGACCAGCTGATGCTGCGACAGGGTCCCTTGACGCCTCGGGCCTTCGGCTTTTTGGTCCGCGGCGCGAAGAAGCTCAGATGCCGTGGCAGTGGTTCTGCGCTCAGCGTGCAGTGGTTTCAGGGACAACAGCCGCCCCTTTCGGACGTCATGGTCATGCCGTGAGCCACGCCGTCAACCAGCTTATCATCCAACTATCCGCCGACTGCGGATGTGTGTCAGCTCTGATAGAGCTTGACTTGACATGGATTTCGCGGGTCGCTAGCGCACCTTTGCCCTGATGCACCGGCATGCTAGTGTCAGGAGGTTGTCAAGGTGCCACTGCCACAAGTGCAACCTGCGCCGCGAGAGGGCAGGCTCGATGCAGCAATTTTGAAAAGCAGCAGTGGAACCAAAATGAGCCAAAAAGTTTCCAATCTCAGACATCTGCCCAGTCAAGTCCACCTGACCGACTGTGCCTGGGTTCATTTCGCTTGGTCATCTGCTTTGATTGCTGCCGCCCTTCAGGTGCCTCCTCACAGTCGGTTTCTGACTCCGGCTGAGTGAACCGAGGAGAACGCTGGCAAGGGATACCTTCCACTAGGTGACTAAGCCCAGGGTTTCCCGTAGGAGCCTCGTTCCCACCTTTCCGGAAATGTGTCGCACATCGCGGATCACCAGGGAACAATTGGGGTGCGTAGCATGAGTCGTTGTTTTGCTGGGAATGTCATCCTTGCATCCTTGACGCCTTTCCCTTGGTTCTATCAGGTCATGTGCTTGGCGAGCAAATCAAGCAGTTCCGGCCAGCAATTCCTAGATCAAGCGATCCCGGTACGAGTTCCCGACCCATGCCCTCCGTCCCTGCTCTTCAAGGGCTTCGCTTCTGCCGTGGCCGGGTCTCTGGAGCAAAAAGTGGCATCACAAGCACTCCCCGCGGTGATGCTTCAGATCCTTGCGACCTTCCCTGCGACACACCAGCTCCGACGCAGAGATCTGCTCTTGTCGTCGCGATAGAGCATTTGCACCTGTTGTCTTGCTTGCATTCGGGTGCATAGTGCCGTGTTCGGCTGCGGTGGAAGCAGATGCAAGCATGGCCATGACAGCGGCGTCATGCGTCTTCTTCGGACCCTTCGACCTGCAGCTTTCTGACCGCAGGCCTCTTTGCACGTAAGCAGCACAGCAATCATTGCAGCTTCGTGTAGATGGTAAAGCCGGCATACGTCCTACCATCGATGCCCTTGCATGAACTTTGGATATTTCGTTACAGCCCCTCTATCACTCTTTCTGGGCTGAAACGTCGCCAAGTACACGCTGGGTGGCATCACAGTGCCAATCATGGTCCCTCGTGCACGTGTACCCCGTCCACGGCTCAGCTAGTCGATCCAAGTCGTGCCAAGCACATTTTTGATTCCGTGCGCATGTTCGGATACGTTCACCAGCCTCCAGATACATTGCTTGACTGCCCTCTCGCAGCATCTTGTCATGAGCGTGGGCAAGGGCCTGCATCCGTCCGATGAGGTTTGCCCCAGTTGCTTCTGCGTGTCTAGGAAGCTGCAAGGATGAGGCGAAACTCGGTATCCGTGCGAAGGCTTCGATCAGCTTCCGAATCGATCTCTGCAGGTGCCGACTTTTGCAGCGTGCTTGGCAGACTGTAAGGCGGAGCAAAACATGCTGCTCATCACGGTTTTTGGCGCAACTGGATGCTGGCAACTATTCGGCATGCCGGTTCCAAACGTCAACGCCAACTGACTCAATGATTGATCCGGTTCAGGTGCGCAGACACTGTCAGCAGGCTCGTTAAAACTGTTTGACATTGTTTGACTGCTCTCTCGCAGCATCTTGCCATGAGTATGGGTAAGTGTCTGCGTCGAAGGTGTGCCCCAGTTGCTTGTGCGAGACAAGGAACCCGCAAGAACGAGGCAAATCTCAGGATACTCGGGGCAGCCGTCGATGAGCCTCCGAATCGATCTCTGCAAGTGCCGATTTGTGCAGTGTGCTTGGCAGCATGGAATGCTGTAAGACAGAACGACGTGTGTACTGGCAACTATTCTGAAAGCCGAATCCAAACGGCAGAGTCGAATGATTCAACCATTGATCCGGTTCGCATATTGAGACACTGCCAGCAGGCTCGTCCTGCACTGTTTGACTGCTCTCTCGCAGCATCTTGTCGTGAGTATGGCTAAGTGTCTTCGTCGAAGGTGTGCCCCAGTTGCTCTTGCGAGCTCAGGAACCTGCAAGACCGAGGCAAAACCCAGGATACTCGGGAAGCCTTCGATGAGCCTCCGAATCCATCTCTGCGTGTTCCTTGTTCCAGGCACAGCTGCGAACTTCTCCGTTTCATTGTGCAAGACCAGTCCATGGGTTGCCATGTTGGACCCAACTCCTCTGTTGACACTGCCTCCCTCAGCCCAGACCTGCCCAACGTTCTGCGGATACTGCAGTGATCTGCTGCTAGATCATAGCTTGATCGCGCCGCACAGCAGCAGGTGTGTCGGCAAAAGCCCTGCTGGGAGGATTCAAGACTTCAAAGCTTGCATTTGCAGTTTGTCGCAACTTGACAAGTTGCCGACGAGCTCCTGTTTGTATAGCTGGCATGGCCGAATACGCAGGCAGCTTGCATTTGGCTCCTTTCCCACATCCGCGCGGGGACAGGGAAGCATGCATGACCTCGGACTCCGAACTGCATCAAGCTATTCGTCGTGGTTTTCAAGACATCAGCAAGCCTTGCCCGTGAGTGCAGCTGCGCCATGCACAGTTGGCTTGACAAGCTTTCAGAAGCCGTTCCTCCGAGGTCGTTGCACCGTAGCCGAAGCCGTAGCTGCTGTAGCTCCAACATGTGCCTGATCGACGACGGCTTGACCCAGGCATATGCTGGGAGGTTGAAACTGCGTGCAGACCAGTTGCAGCGCTCGCCGCCAAGCTTGCGTCCTTCCTTTGCGGGGCCCGCAACTGTCCGCCAGCAGGTGCCTCGCTGCTCGGCGATGCGGTTCGCAGGGCATTTGAGTGCTTTACCCGACCTTTGTGTTGCGAGAGGCTCGCTGTGTCACATCGAACGAGCCGTCGGGCAGCAAGCCACCGTCGTGGCATCCATTTGCGGTCGGTCAGTGGTAAGCCTGCTGAACTGATCTGCGACGTCGGCCACTTGAGGGACTCGACTGCATCCGCCGGGACCGATCGGTGCCGGGGCGAGCCCGAGGCACTTCCCTAAGACCATCGCAGAAGGCTTAGTTCCGACTTTGGTTGGGTCTGAGACTTGGGGAATGTTCAAACGCAGGCGGCCCGGTCATGCAAAGGCTCCGTTTCGTGCACGTTCTCTGCACATGAACCGCAACCCCGTCGGAGACTGGACTTGGGCATTGTGGTGGCTTTGTTTGGTAAACCTGTGTGCGAGAAAGCAGCCAAAGCTTTGCAGTTGCACGACCAGCTGATGCTGCGACAGGGTCCCTTGACGCCTCGGGCCTTCGGCTTTTTGGTCCGCGGCGCGAAGAAGCTCAGATGCCGTGGCAGTGGTTCTGCGCTCAGCGTGCAGTGGTTTCAGGGACAACAGCCGCCCCTTTCGGACGTCATGGTCATGCCGTGAGCCACGCCGTCAACCAGCTTATCATCCAACTATCTGCCGACTGCGGATGTGTGTCAGCTCTGATAGAGCTTGACTTGACATGGATTTCGCGGGTCGCTAGCGCACCTTTACCCTGATGCACCGGCATGCTAGTGTCAGGAGGTTGTCAAGGTGCCACTTCCACAAGTGCAACCTGCGCCGCGAGAGGGCGGGGTCGATGCAGCAATTTTTGCAAAGCAGCAGTCAAAGAGTTGCCGAGATTGACGTATGGCCCAAACAAGTCCACCTGACTGACTGTGCTTGGGTTCATTTCGCTTGGTCGTCTACTTCGGTTGCCGCAGGACACGAGGCGAGGCGGATTCAGCCTCCTCGCGTTCGGTTTCTGACTCCGGCTGAGTGAACCGAGGAGAACGCTGGCAAGGGATACCTTCCGCTAGGTGACTAAGCCCGTAGGAGCCTCGTTCCCACCTTTCCGGAAATGTGTTGCACATCGCGGATCGCCAGGGAACATGTTGGGTGCGTAGCATGAGTCTTTGTTTTGCTGGGAATGGCATCCTTGCACCCTTGATGCCTTTCCCTTGGTTCTATCAGGTCATGTGCTTGGCGAGCAAATCAAGCAGTTCCGGCCAGCAATTCCTAGAGCAAGCGATCCCTGTACGAGTTCCCGACCCATGCCCTCCGTCCCTGCTCTTCAAGGGCTTCGCTTCTGCCGTGGCCGGGTCTCTGGAGCAAAGAGTGGCAGCACAAGCGCTCCCCGCGGTGATGCTTCAGATCCTTGCGACCTTCCCTGCGACACACCCGCTCCGACGCAGAGATCTGCTCTTGTCGTCGCGATAGAGCATTTGCACCTGTTGTCTTGCTTGCATTCGGGTGCATAGTGCCGTGTTCGGCTGCGGTGGAAGCAGATGCAAGCATGGCCATGACAGCGGCGTCATGCGTCTCCTTCGGACCCTTCGACCTGCAGCCTTCGGTGCACGAGCTCGATCCGTCTTCAGTGGGTAAGGTATGCGGAGCCTGCCCATCCACGAAACGACCCCTTTTGAGAGTTCGCGGGTTCGCCGCCATGCGTTGTGGTACGCTTGGCAGACCGCAAAACATCATAGAACCGGTCATGGCTCCTCGTGCACGTTCACGCTGACAACATGTCGGCTTGTCGATTCCAAAAGCACCAGCGACATCTTTGTTTCGGCCCGCACCTTCGGAGGCTTTCAAAATGCCCGTGATGCAATGTTTGACTGCGCTGTCGCAGCATCTAGTCATGAATATGGGTATAAGTGGCCGCATCCGTCTGCACAGCAAGGAAGCTGCAAAGATGAGGCGAAACTCAAGGTCGTCGCGCCGCAGCCTTCGATCAGCTTCCGACGACACCTCTGAAAGTGCTTGCGCAGAAATTGCAGGTTCCTCTCCCTGGGCTAGCAGCGGTACGAAGAGCCAGTCAGGGCAGGGAGAAGGCCTCTGTCCAACTACCTCCGGTTCAGATAGCAAGTGGGCGTGAGTGTTTTCGTCCTTGGGAAGAGAGGGTCTGCCTCCGTGAGCATGCCTGCGTTGCTGGGCGCGGCTGTGCACAAGACCAGGGCTTGATCACTTCCCGAAGCCGGAGGGAAGCGACTATACCTGGCAGGTTGTTGTCAGCAAGTCTCGTGCGGTAGTCGTGCGCGGATCGACGCCGATGCATAGCCGGGTCCGATTGAGCATTCATCCGGCGGTGTCCGTCTGGATTCTTCGATCCTGGGCCATCGTAGGCCAGCAGAGGCCGTCGGCGCCGGCTCGATCTGTGTTGGCAAAGGTGAACCGAAGGTGACTGCCGGGCGAGGTACATCACGGAGGCGACACGCATTTGGTCTCGGCAGGTTCCTTTCTCACATTCGTGCGGTTGGAAGGAAGCGTGCAGGCGCCGCCCCTGCTTGACTTTTCGCCTTCGTGGAGCCTGGTAGTCGATTTTGAAGCGTTTATGCATTGACGAATCTTCGAGAACTGCCTAAGTCGAAGTGTGTACCGGCAATGACTCGGCATGCCTATTCCAAAACCGTTCCAAGCGACAAAGACAGATCATTCAATGATTGATCCGGTTCTCATATTGAGACACTGCCAACACGCTAGTGATGCTCTGTTTGACTGCTCTCTTGCAGCATCTTGTCATGAGTATGCAGTATAGGCAAGTGCAGGATGCGTCCGATACCCGAACCAGGAAACTGCACGGATGAGGTGAAACTCGGTATCCTTGCGAAGCCTTCGACCAGTTGCCGAATCGATCTGTGCAAGTGCCGATTTGTGCAGAGTGCTTGGCAGCTTGGCAGGCTGTAAGACAGAACAACAATGCCGATCACGATTTTTGGGCCCAGTGCGTACTGGGAACTCTTGGGCATGCCGGTTCCAAGCGACAAAGATAAATGACTTAGTGATTGATCCGGTTCGCATATTGAGACACTGCCAGCAGGCTCGTCCTGCACTGTTT